TACGCCTCTTCTAAAGAGGCTCTGGATCACGGCCACGTGGTGCCAGTTAGTAAGCTCAATCTAGCTCGCACTCTGCAACACTGTCCTAGCTGACCAATAGGTCATATACAAGGTAGTTGAAGTGATGCATCACTTTCGACAAAGTGCCATGTAGAGGTTGACTCTCCATGACCTAGGAAAGGTGTTATGACCTACTACAAAAGTGATCCAAGGCAACTAGCCTCTTTGTTGATAGAAAACATTTCTCACTTCCACCTCTTCCAAGAGATCTTTTGTACAAGATCTTCTTATAATTGATTGATGTAACATTTCTACAAGAGACAACTAAACGGTCAATTTGTCGGTTTAATTTTCAGAGATCAGAACTAGGCTCCAGGATACCTACTTTTCAGAAACATTAAATAACATTTAGCTTATGATTGATGGAGTGACACCTAGGAAGAAACATCTTGACCATCAAGATGAGGCCACATGTCTTTTTATCTAACCGTGATAATATATCATATTTTATAGTAAAAGCTCATACTTAGCGTCATTTGAAGGTAATGTAATTTTATACACCCAACTATAACATTTTGTTCTTCCATTTTTACTCTTTATAAACTCCCTGGTGCCCGAACACTACTGTGGTTCATGTCTTAAGCACATCCCACACCCAAATATACTCATACAAATTGACTGACTTGATCATCTAAATACACGTAGCCGCTCTCCCACCTTCGGAGAAAATTGCATGTTGCTAACAGTTTGTCCAAGCGTGTGAGTGAAAGACCACGTGGGCGTGAGTGTAGTTAAGATCTGTTGACCACGTCTCCTATGCAGAAATAGAGGTCAATAATACGTGTGAGCATAATAGGAACCATATCTTCACTTGTAGAAACCACATTTGGAATTGCACAAGCATATAAATGCTAATTTGTATAGCAATTGTTGAGGATGTTAAAGAATAAATAAAGACAGTTGTGGATCCAACTGAAGTTTGGGGATTTCTTTGTGGAAAGTTGACTTTTGCTTAACGTAGCGGTTTTGCTTATAGTGTCAATATTATTGGAATGCGAAAGTAAAATTACGCAGAAATTAAAAAAGAATCTTTAATTCAAGAAACAAGATTTTCTGGATGTTCACGTGTATGTTATATCAAAAATAAACTATTCGAATTTTTACTTGAATTCAATAATTAATTCTGAATCACAAACTTTCAGATTTTTGGATCATAAGCTTCCATTTTTTTAATTTCAAGAACTTAATGCTTCAATTCAAGTTTTCTATGGTATTATCTAAAATCAAGACTACTTAACGGGTGAGCACCTTCTTTTAATTAATTCAAGAAACTAATTCTTGAACTGAAAAATAAGAAAAAATAATTATCTCTCTCTCTCCAATTTAAATACTATGAAACTATGTATTATGATTGTTCTAGAATTTTATACCTATCTGGTCTCTATTTATAGAGATTAAGATATTCTAATCCATGTACAATAATAATCCCAATTTTAAATAGGAGTCTTAATTAAGATTCAAATAGGAGTTTTAATTAAACGCCACATCCAATTAATTTACATTTAATTACATGTGTAGTCCTAAAACTTCAATTACAATTATAATTAAGTTTACAATTTTTATAGCAATTACAACTAAGCACAAAACTTTATTGAAATCACAATTAAGCCCAAAACGTTTATTATAATTATAAATAAGTCACAATACTTTATATAGCTACTATAGGGGCCTGATGGGGTATATATTATCCAAACTCCAATAATTAGATCATGTCTAGTCGACTCTAAATCATGCAATCTAATTATTAGTTTTTGATTTTTTCACTAAAAGCAAAAGACTGAACTATCAGAATATATAAGATCATAGAAGTCAATAAATCTATAATACTTTTCTCTGACATGTCGTATATATATTTTATCCACTTCCAAGATTTGATAATTAGGTACGAGCATAAATGACAGTTTTACCTCTCTAATTATTCTCATTAACTTAAGTATAATTTTCTTCCACAGTCTTATGAACTAATCACATATGTTGAAATTTAGCCATCGCTAAACATTGAGTCTAGATTTTAACTGTTCAGTAGAAAATACTTAAGTAGTCATTCTACCCATTTTTTTAGGGCGACGGTTCCCGACACGAATTCTTGTTTTCTACTTTGTTTATTCTCAAGTTCCTAACTCATCAGATATTTTAATCAATTAAATTAATGAATCAAAGAACCATTAAAATTAAGAAAAGATATGCATAACCCCGTCAAGGGATTTAGATGAAATACACAGCAATGAAGTGTAATTTAATTCTCCGCACTGCCATGCTACAGAATTAAACTCAATAGTGGTCCGTTCAATATACTTCAAGTGTATTAGTGTCACATTTAACTATTTTTGTACGACAAATCACAAACTCGAATAATGAATCAGTCAACATTACAACATTTCAATAGAAGGTATCAACCCTTATTCATTGATTGTGAACAAATTATTTATGATCAAAATATAATTTGTGTGATACTACACTTCTCAACGCAAGTAATAAACTTATTTTATCACTAGTGATCATACACTTTAATTGCATGTTCAATAATAAATAAATGCAATAAATAAATAAAATCACAATTTATTTATTATAAATTATTATTTTGTCATGGCAAAAAAAAAATACTATATGAGCATCAGAACCAAATTGGCTTGTAAGAAATGGAAAATTTAGCCCAATGAAAATTTAAAAGAATAAAAATTTAGCCTAACACAAAATTTAATTTTAACCCAACTAACTTCCTTCCCAACCCAAGCCCAATGTCGAATCATTCAAATTTAGTTTAAAACTCTACAATAATTACACATTTATTTTATTTATATTTATGATATACAAATAACTCGTTATCGAACTAGGTATTTTATTTCATACATATAAATAACTAAGTTTAAAGGGTTCACTTATAATTAAACTAGTTTATTATATAACAAATATTTTTTATTGATTAAAATAAAGATAAATGACTTATTTGAAAGTATGAGATTCCACACGTTTGACTAAGTTTAAAGTAATAAAAAAAAAAATTACTTATTTCGACCATGAAATGGACATTATTATCAAAATAAGTAATATACTCTATATTTAATTTTATTAGTCAAGAATATATTTGTTAGAACTTTATTATGAGTGTCCTGTGTCCAAAAATATATATTGACCTTCTTTATCACGAGTCTCATGAGTTTAACATTTTGAACTAAATCTTGTAGTATATAGCATCTTTTATGGTATGAGTTCATTGATAAATTAAATTAAATTTCAGGCCACCCTAACATGTTTTTTGGCTCCGCCCATGATGGGCACACAACCCAACAAGTATCACTTGCAAAAATGGGCGGAGAAGTTCTCTAGTTCTCCAGTAATGCCGAAGTTGGTATTTGTAGAAAACAAGACGAATGAATAATAAGTAGTGTTCTAAAATGCGTAATGCTTTTGCGATACGTCGAGTCCGAGAATTAAGAATCACAAGTTTAGGCGTGTCAATGCGAAAAATAAATGTTATAATGCGTTTCGTATTTTTAAGGCATTAAGTATATTTTTATATAAAAAAATAAATTTTTTACCAAAAAAAAAAATTGGGCTGTATAATGCGCTCCTAGGCGGCATAATGCGCCCATTAGGCCCGCCTAGGCGGGATTAGGCGCTTAGGCGGGCGCATTGCGCCACCTTTTAGATGGAAAAGCATTTTCCCGCGCGTCGTCGAATTCGACGCGTTTTGACCGCACGTCGTGCCTCGGCCGCGCATTTTCACGAGTTTTAGAACACTGATAATAAGACCAATTTGCACTTGAAAGTGTTACCTTATATAGGGGAAATGATATTTGTACTTTAGAATGTCCATAAGGGTTTACACCCTCCTCACATGGAGGGGGTGTAAACCCCTTTGTATATTGTTATGTGCATGTAGCCCTTATACAGTGGAGTTTTGAGCTATTGGACTTTTACTTCCTTAAGATGTTCCAAATATAGAGCCCAAAAAAGATTAACTCGTGTCCTGTTTAGCTAATCACCTCATGTATCATCGTCGCTACTTTCCTACTTAATTTCTATAGAAGTTATTGGTATTCAATTTATAAGCATTTATGCAGTCAGGGGCGGACCCAGTGGGGGTCCGGGGGCACGTGCCCCGTCCCCCCAGATTTTGATTTTTTTTTTTAATATAAAATTATGTTTGATATCGATTGAAATCTAAATTTTAATCTAAATCAAAGTTAACAATTAATTCTAATAACATATTTCATAGAATTCATAACTATTTAACTTTTATCAAAATTTACTAAAAGCTTGATTTTAATTTCCACCAAACAGAGGAAAAATCACAACAAATTTGAATTTCGATAACAAGCTAATTTTAAAAATTCTCTAACAATCGGACGTTAATTGAATATACAGATTGCTTATGTCATCTTAAAACTTATTTCGAGAACTACATTATGGGCATATCAAATAATCCAAACAGATATCAAAAATAGTTAAAAACACGTTAAACATGAGTTTTAAAGAAAAATATTTAACTCGCATTTTTT